AAAAAAAATGAAACTATGAGTTGGATTGATGCTGTTTGTCTTTTGGAAATATCCTGTGTGGTGATTTTATCAAATTTTATCCAATCAGACAAAGCTGTAAAAAAATACATTGTAAGACATTAAATAATAGTTTGGAAAAAAAATCTGGATTTCTGAGCATCAATGCCAGGAGATTAAAACCTCAGAGAAGGAAAATCCCTGTTTAAACATTTGAGTAATCAAACAAAACTTGAGGATGAGAAAAAGGATTAAAATTGTGACATTAATTTAACCATAAAATCAATAAACAATGTTTTATTGTAGCAGTCGGCTGTGTGTTTTAAGCTTTTGTTTTTCTTATTGTCTTTCAGTTGTTGGAATTTGGTTGAACCTATCTGATCCCTGTGCATGCCGAGCGGAGCAATGCATGTGTGTGTGTGTGTGTGTGCGTGTGTGTGTGTGTGTGTGTGTGTGTGTGTGTGTGTGTGTGTGTGTGTGTGTGTGTGTTTGTGTGTGTGTGTGTGTGTGTGTGAGGTGGCGTGTGCTTCACTGCAAAGATTTATGTTGCTCCAGGACATGCATTTTTTTAGTGCATCTTGTTAGTTCATTCCTGTCACCTCTCTCCCTCTCCCTCCCTCCATCCTCTGCTTTTTCAGCACTGAAGGGGGGATGGGGCAGGGGAGGGAGGGGCGGTGGTGGAGCCAGTCACCATGGTTACCGTGCCACGACAAATATTCATCAAGTTGTTAGAATAAAAACAAATGGGAGTGCATTATAATTGCTCTTACTGACTGGGACACAATAATGTGTTCATATATTATGAGTGAGGGGAGGCAGAGTGGGAGGGAGGGCAAAAATGAAAAATAAAAAAATAAAATAAAAATCTATTTAAAATATCTGCTGACCCTGCAGGCGGACGGCATGTGGCACACACACATTTTGAGTTTTTTCACCTGTTCCTGTGTGACTTTACCTGCTTATCGGATTCACTGGGAGGACTTTGGTGAGTCTCTCCTTCCCTTTCTTTGTCCCTCCATCTCTCGCTCTTCCTGTACTGTTGTGTAGCCGCGGGCGATACTGTGATGTGTCCTCCCTCTGTCCCTCCCTCCCGCTCCCTCTCTCTCTGTCCCTGTCACCTTCAATTGCTCTGTGAAACTAGACACACTGCCTGGGGCGGGCGGGGGGACGGAGCGAGGGAGGGACGCAGGAAGGGAGGGAAAAGGGGAGACAGACAGCTTTACAGACAGACAGAAGGAATAAGCGCTGTGTGACATGTAAAACAAACAGGATTATCACATGAAAAGAAAAAAAATCGATCATGTTGTTTTCATTCTGTCCAGATAATCAAACACTTAAAACAACAGGACTAATTCAGCTGAACCAGGCGAGTGTTTGACCCTTGACCTGCTTGCGTGTGTTGCCGTAAACACAATAAATGAGGTTTTTAAACCTGCTGAACTGGTTTGACAGGGAAACAGCTTTACAACTAAATCCTGAACAAACAGAAGCTGAAGATCTTTAAAATCTCCTGAGAATTTATTTTTTATCCTTCACTTTCCTCTTCTTTTGCACCAGATGTCAATTATTTTGTTAAAACTATTTTGGGTGTTTGGGCCGACCATAAAACATGCAGGTGTTTTCAGAACTGCTGCCATTGCTCATACTGACTCATGTAAACAGCATTATTTGTATTTGTGCCTTATTTGTTCTCGTTGTCTGACCTTAAATCAGACCAGGGTGTCAAACTCATTTTCATTTTGGGCCAAATCAAAATCATAAATGCTCTTAAAGGGCCGGTTGTGCCGAGTATATTGATAAAACCTGATCACAAACTGTTAAAATATCAATAGTTCTTAAAATTAAATACATTATTTAATTTGTATTGAGTCCCTCCAGGATTTTGTGAATTTTAAAAATAAAAATCAAAGTGTTTGTGGTACTAATTTGAAAATATTTGCTCTTATTTATGACGGTAAATGTGACTTTTTATTCCTCGCTCTGTAGATCATGGACTATAACCTGATATCAATTAAAGCTGAGGCAGCTGTTTAGTGCAAGTAAGAAAGTTTTTGACAATTTTTGCGAAAAATATGCAATAAACTCCCAATTAGTGCCAAAAGTGTGGGGATTTGTTGATTTTCCGTGAATTTCCAGGATAATTCTCAAGAAACTGGAATAATTTGGCAGTAAATAGATAAAAACTGCATTGATTTGATTGGTAACATGATATTTAATCACACTTAGTGTTTAGTGTAGGATCCAGATGTACAAATGCGGATTGTCCTTTTGGATAACCATGCAGGCTGGAGTGGCAGCATCATGCTGTGGGGCTTCTTTGCTGCAGGAGGGACTGGTGCACTTCTCAAAGTATATGACAAAACCAAAAAAATAACATAACTTTGAATTATTGTCTTCCAAATGCTCAATGACCCAAACATTTTGTAGCAGCCATCAGAAACCCCTGAAACAATATTTATGGGCAAATCTGAACTTGTAGGATTTTAACTGACTCAGCAGTTCTGTCAGGAGGAATTGGTCAAAATTACAGCAAACTTTTAACCAAATCTTGTTTAAGTAAACCCAAAAGTTTGACTTTTTTTTTTCTCCAAATACTGATAAAATAGATGTAAATGTCTAAATTTGAAGAAACGTCTCCAAAAAAAAAATCCTGTTTAGCTAAAAGAAACATTTTTTGTAAACTTTGGAAATGCAAAAATGAAAAACTTTAGTTTGACTTCATGTCAGACAGTGGGAAAATGAAGCTCTTAGTTTTAGAGTTTACCCAATAATTTTGACAAAAGTGCTTGAATACTTAGTGAAGAAATATAAGAATTCACATCTACCACATAGTTTCTGATTTAAAAAGAAGTTTTATTAGAAGTGTGACAACTAACATAATTGCAGAGAAAGTCGACTGCGACATAAACAAAGTTCTTAATTTCAAGTTTTCTGTTTGTGTTTTTCTATTAAAAAGTGTTGCTGTTGTGTGCTTAATTTTAGTTCAACATCATATTTTCCAATACAAGTGGCTAAATGTTTGCAAATACACATAAGATTTATTGCAGGTCTATGAGGGCGCTCCGCATGGTTCCATCCTTGGCCCATTTTTTGTTTGTTTTTTGTTTTTCTCCACAGAAGAAAATGCAACATTTCAAACTCATATTTTCAACTCTATGCTAAAGACAAAAAAACTTTTTCACCTTTTACTTCAAATCCAAATACATGAAAACGTCTTTACCATTTAAAACAACAACAACAAAAAAAACAAATTGAACATCTTTTGAGAAAATTTTAAAGATAGAAATTTGATCAAATGGGAATCTACTTTAAGAACTGATGCCAAACTTGTCTTTTAAGAAGCATAATAATTATTTTCTTGCTCAGGCACAATTTTGTACCAAAAATGAAAAAAATCTCAATTATAGCTGATGTGAAATTTAAGAACAAAAATCAAAGATAGTATCACCACAAAAAATATTTATTGTGATTCTGAAGAGAAAAGAGCTTTCCAAACCAACCGGATCCTACCTGAAAATTATTCCCATTCTTCTGTCTTCTGCTCCAAATGCATCCAAATTCCATTTTATAAGGCCTCAATCTCACGTTATCAGGTTTAACGCTGAAACTGCCTTGCTTCTGTACTAAACTACTTTGTTTAATTCTCCAAGCTAACCTTTTGGATTCCCCTTGCTGGGGTTTTGATAGTATTGTCCATTTTTTCACCGAACTCTAACCCGGTTCATGGGAAAACAACCTGCAAGGAATGCAAGGACGCAGTTCCGTTAATTTCACTGGCTCAGGTGTGCTGCATGGGCGGGACGAAGGTTCCTATAGGGTGTGACGTTCCGCTCAGGTAACAGGTTTCTACACTGAAACTGTGAGTCAGAATTGAGCGGAGATCGCAGGTTTTTGGGGACAAACGGATTTCTGTCCGTTTTTAAGAAAGTTTTAAGAAAAGTGATACAACTTCCTAAACTTTAGTTTCTGCTGTGTCATCAAGAGGGGGATTAAGTGCATCGTTTGACGATTTATTGAAATAACCAGGTTCAAACTATTTAAAGAGATTTTTTTTAACGTATTTGTTCGTCAAAATGGCGACGAAGGTGCTCCTTTCTGTATTTTTTTTGTGCGTAACAGGTGAGTGAAGAGTGGAGGGTCTTCCTGTCGGTTCCCTCCCCGCCTTGCCCTTTTCTTTGTTTGATAAACAGACATTTTGTGCTCGGCTTGTTTTCGGCTGTTTGTGTTCAGCGGTGATTAAATGTTTCCATGCTTTGCTCTCGGGTCATGAAGTCGCATTTTCTTCAGGTTTGCGGGGCTCCAACGCGCAGGTATGCGGCCGTCTGCAGATGAAGGACAGGATTGTAGGAGGGGTGGACGCCTCGAATGGGGCTTGGCCATGGCAGATAGATATTCAGGTAAACCCCAATTAAACGGAAATGTTTCCACTTTCATCCCGTGGGTTCACAGCTGCGCCCGGAGGAAAGCTTTGGTCTGGGTTTTGTTGTGAAGCTGACCTGCTGAGAGAGGGATTTGCCTGTGATGCAGATGTGACTCACTGCTGTTTTCCTTCATTCCCCTCCTCTCTGCCTCCAGAAATCTAACGAACATGTCTGTGGAGGCTCCCTCATCACGCAGGACTGGGTGCTTTCAGCTGCACATTGCTTCCCCAAGTAAGAAAGCTCCACCCGGACAGAAACTGCTAAAAGTTGCCATTTCGCTGCATTGAAAGTATCTGAGTTGTTTTGCATTTAATCAGAATCTGAAACATTATAACTGACCTTAAGATTAATATGTTTATTCAATATGTCAAACCTAAAGAGGACCTTTCAAAAAATGCCTATTGCATATCTTTATTTTATTATTTAAATCAAATGCTAAATTACATCAAATCTTTGCACAGATTACCAATAAGCAACTTTTAGCAACATTCATAATCCATTATGTGCTTTTTCGTGGTATTTGCTGTTTAAATTGAACCATAGTGTGGTGTGAATATTTATCAGAAAATCTGTATTTAAACCTTTTTTCATGCAAAAATGAGTAACAGCCTTTAAAGTTCACATTTCTACCATTTTTAAAATCTTTTAAACACCCAGCTTTTTTGCATTTTGGTCATGAAACGGAGAAGTCTGAGGAGGAAAATGGAGTCAGGCCGATCCTCAAAGCCTGCATATTGGCATGTAGGCAAAAATAATTCAAATTTTCCAAATTGTTTTCAACAAGAGGAAATAAAGACTGACCAGAGCGTTGCTCTGAGAGGGCCTTGGATTTAAAATGTTTGCATAATCTGTGCTTTTCTTGTTCATAACATTCCAATAGTAAAAAGTGGCACTACATATTTAAGTTATTCACCTATTAGAACTACTTTCTATGATGGCTCTCGATGTCTGCTCTGATTTGAAAGATTAAAGCGTAATTATTTCTTATTTAACGTCTCTAATTTGTCATTTTTCAGTCCATCCGATCCGTCCTCCTACGTTCTGTACATCGGACGGTACCAGCTGAATGGGATCAACGAGCACGAGTTGTCCCGTACAGTGAAGCGCATAGTGATTCCATCTGGTTACCAAGACCCCAACAGTGGCAAAGACATCGCTCTCCTGCAGCTGTCCAGCCCCGTGTCCTGGAGCAACTACATCCAGCCTGTGTGTTTGCCTGCGCCGGGAACGTTGTTTCCCACTGGGATGACCTGCTACGTCACTGGCTGGGGAAACATCAGGGAAGACGGTAAAGCCGTTAACTTTCTGTTGTGGTACCGGCAGCTTTCTGGAAAGTAGAATATCCTCAGTTGATGTATTTCATTTCAGAACATGGGGCTCTGATGTTAGTCACACATCCAAGTGCAAAGAAATAAAAAAGAGAAGGGTGTCTTTAAATGATTAAGCAAAAAAAACTAATCAATAATTATATCGACTGCAGATGCAAACAATTGACTTATGATTAATGTTCAGATTAAAATTAGTTCCAATTGATTAACTAATAAGTGTTGTAGATAAACCTCCATCCAGAAGAGGGCGCCACTGGTCATTCTTAAGACGTGCATGTTCTAGGAGAAACAAGATGGTGGAGGGCGCTTTTCTGAACAGTCCAAACATAATCCAAATCTGTTTTCAAAATATAAATACATTTTTCTCCATATTTTTCTAACCTAAAAGGTTCTTGTTTTTTGTTTCATTAATGTCTAAAGTTGATGAGAGAAAACCAGAATTTTCTGTTTATTCACTCAACACTTATACAATATTTGTAAAAAGAAAAAAAAAAAGTCCTTTTTATTAAAAAAAAAAAAAAAAAAGCTTATTGTGGAAAAATTACCCTTATGGAAAGACGGTCGGCCCCCTTAACACAACAATTTTCAGGAAAATAGTTGCTTATCAATTGTTAGTTGATTAAGATCAGTTAACTTTTGATTAATTCATTAATCAATAACTTGCATCCCTAATAACAGCTGATAGAAAACCCTTTTATGTTTCAGCCATATTGTCTAAACACTAAAACAATACTATTGTAATGTAAGATGATCTTAAGTTTTAAAACATGCTTTGCTAAATGAAAACCACCTGTAATTAACTAGCTTATCTGCTCTCCAGTGCCTCTGTCAGGAGTTGGGACTCTGCAGGAAGTGGCGGTGCCAATCATCTCCCAGGCTTCCTGTCAGGAAATGTACCAAATGAATCGGGTGGAGCAGGTGGACATTCTATTCGACATGATCTGTGCAGGATACCAGCAGGGCGGCAAAGACTCCTGCCAGGTACCATTTGATTTATGTTAACAAACATTCACTCGTTTGAGTGCATTCCCTGAGATAAAGACATGTTGCATGTCTTTGTTTACATTTGGGAATTTCACGCATGTGCACAACACTGAAAGGCGAAAAGACTTTTTTTTTTTTTTTTTTTTTTTTACTTTCTACCCAAAGCTGTTTTTTTTTGGAAGAACCCCCTATACAAAAAAAAA